ACTAAACTGAGAAGTGTAGATATTTCACATGATTATTTTTTTTCCTGTAGGCTCTAAACTTCTTAAAAGACACCCATACAGATTCTATAGTCAAGTATTTTTAAACATTTAAAATAATTACTACAATCTGTTTAAATGTTTTACTTACAGCAGGCCTACCACAGATATATAAAGTAGTGTTAAAAGATGACCAGGAGAGCAACATGTTGTCTTAATAGTTCTGAGTTTTATCTTCAGAATTGAACACCTGGCCAGAATTGTCTTTACTTCCCAGCAGTGTAAACATTGGCAAGTTCTTCATCCTCACTTAGTTTTCTTCTAGTAGAATGAAGAATAATGGCTCTTTCTCATAGAATGATTATGAAGATTGAAGTACATTACGTATGTAAAAACACTTAGAGTGACAGTACAGAATAATGTTTTTTATTTGTATTTTTGACGGTGGTGGTACTGGAGATAGAATCCAGGTCTTTCATACTGAGATACCCCCTCACCCCCCACAACCATACCTTTTATTTGTTTTTGTTTTTTGAATTGGGGTATTGCTGAGTGTTCAGGCTGCTCTTGAATTCAGTGTATCACCCAGGCTGGCCTCCTGCTGAGATTACAGGCTTGTGCTACCAAGTTGACACTTTTTTCTTTTTCTTTTTTTTTCATTTTTAGATAAGATCCCACTAAATTGCTGCTGAGGCTGGGCTGTGATCCTTTGGCTCCTGCCTCCCAGAGTGCTGGGATCATATTGTGGGCCACCAAATCCAGATCGTTGACAGTTGGATGCTGAATCTTACCTTTAAGAGTACTACCTTGCCATAGGAGTCTCCATTTGTTACTTTGTAGTAATGGTGCTATTTTGTGAGTGCTTGTTTACACGCCCCTAAGATTCTGGAGGGTAAAGTATAGCTTTGTTCATGTTAAGTCACAGACACCACCCAGGAAGGGATTTAGGTAACTCAGTAAATACTGAATTATTGAATCATCTCATTTACATTGCTGTTGCAAAAAAAAAAATTAGACATTCAGCATTGTGGCTACCACAGTAGGAATGGGGAAAGGTTAAAGAACTGGAGAGGAAAGTTAATATAGTGTGGCAGAAAGACCAGGGAGACAACATTTTGGCTTTCATTGTCATTATTGATCTACCCGTCTTTACTCAAGCAAACTTAACTTTATAAGGACCACAGTTTCCTTATTTATCAATTAAGCAAGGTGACCCAAGTCAGTGAGTTTGTGCTTTTCCTGGAATTCTAGGCCCTCAGAAGTACCTTTGGAGATGGAAGTGTGAGGGTATAAATGAGTCACAGGTTGTGCACTGTGTGCCACACTGTATCGTCTTAGCAGTGAGTGATAGTCTCCTGTCAGACAGAGATAAGAGTCTTGGGCTTACTGTTTCCAAGAGCCAAGCTACCTGGGATCTCATTGTTGCTGTCTAGGCCTTTGGGTCATTGATTGTAATATCACACATATTCTGTGGTCATTTATCCTGTAAATTATGCCAAATTTGCTAAGTCACCAAATTTGACATTTTTAAAAAAATCTCTTGGTTATATAGTTATTTGTATTCCTTGTAAATTCAAGCTTTGAACTAGTTGCATGATAATTTGAGCACATACTTATACATACGGTAGCAGTACCTGTTTTCTTATATCTTTCCTGTATATCAAAATTTGGTCATTTTTTAGCAATATTAGATTTTAATGTGATAAAACAAATTTTGACGTTTCCAATGATTTTTAACATTGTCACTAGGGCTTCTCTAATCCTTTTTTTTCTTATAGTGTTAGTCTGTTTGGCTTTATTTGATACTCAGTATTAAACTTCTTAGAGCCAGGAGTGATGGCGTACACCTGTAATATCAGCCATGGGGAGGCTGATTAAATAAAGGATTGCCATAAATTCAAGACCAGGCCCGACTACATAGTGAGTTTAGGGCCAGTCTGAACTACATAGTGAGACTGTGTTTAAAAAATACACACACAAAATAAAACTAGTTTCTTTATTCCATTATTGAAAACCAAATGGAGTAGAATGAATAAAATCTTTGAGGTTTTTTTTTTTTTTTTTAAATGATCCTGGGGATTGAAGTAGACATTTCACAGGGACCTAATATCTCCAGTGCTTTTTCATAATTTTTAAAATTGAGTTCTCATCTTAGTACTTACATACTTTTTTTTTAAGGGGAATATTATAAAGAAATTTAAAAAACTAACACTGTAGTCAAGACTGCAAATAAACTTCTGGATCAAAATTAAACTGACTTGGCCAGGGATTTAGCTTAGTTACACAGTGCTTGCCTGGAAAGTACAAGGTCCTGAGTTCAATTACTGGTACAATAAATAAATAAATAAATAAATAGAGATTGGTTTGTCTCTTCATTTAGCATGTTTTTAAAAATATTTGTTTTCTCTTCATTTAGTATAAATAAACATGCCTTATTTTGGGCTCTGGAGATGCACGGCTAAAGGGCACTGGAAGAATTCGTCTCTGCTCTTTACTGGGAGAAGGGTTAGTGCTCGGTGTCCACAAAGTATTTCTAGTGCAATATGATTCCTGGATAACTCTCTCATGGTGTGAAGACTTAGCTTTGAAACATTCTAATTTACTGTAACCCTCCTGGTTATTATAATGTCTAAATCAACAATTGTTTGATTTTCCACAAAGGTTTTAAATTATACATAGCCCACTCCCAATATAAATATAAAGCATGAGAACACCTTGTTACCTGCCAGCAAGGCTCTGCCTCTCCTCGGCCTCCAATGCACTGCCTATCTCCTGAAAGGGCTTGCCCTTGGCTAACCTTGCGGGAAGGGACAAAACCAGGACTCTGTTCCAAACTCAGGGCCTAGCCACACAGCCTCCTGTGTCCCAGCCTCAGTTTCCCACTTGTGGAAGCACTGGGGCTGAGGTTGGGGATCGAGATGTTGCTTATTGTGCCCTTTGGCACAGCTGAGAAGGTGGCACGCCCTCTTTCTGTCCCCTGAGGATCAGGGTGGCTTGTGCTGGGCCTGCTCCAGGTGGGGGATGCGGGGATGACACGGGCTGCTCTGTAGCTGCGTGGCTGCATGGGCTGTGGCTCCAGTGGGAACCAGGAAAGGCTTGCTCTTCTGATCTGGTTTTGAAACTGGAGACCGGAGGTGACCTGAGGGCTGTGGCCAAGTGGACCTACTGCCACTCACATGCCAGCCACCCAGATCCCCAGCTGCTGTCCCTGCCCAGGTGTGGACAATGGTGAGGACATTCCCCAGGAGACACTGATTGGGCTCTATGAGCGAATCCAGCAGCAGGAGCGGAAGACAAATGAGGACCACATGTCCCAGCTGCCCCCAGAAGGTGAAGAAGCTGATCGTGGGGAAGAAGCCCATACATGCTTGGCCCTCAGGCATGGGGCCGCCTGCCCATCATTCTGGCCTCTGGCAGGCAGAGCTGGCGGGGGACTCCCAGGCATTCAAAGCAGTGCCTGCAGGCTTGAGGAATCCTGGCTGTTTGCTCGGGTTGCACTTGAGGCCCTCAGGTCCTTAGTGATGGCCCAACTCTGCTAACTCTAGGCTCTTTCCTTAGTGATCTGAGCCCCCTGTCCCTGACAGGGCACTACAGTGAGCTTTACACCTTGCCCACTCCCTGGTATCCAGGCTGGTGGAGCTGAGGACCTGGCGCCCTGGCTGGGCATTGCTGTGCCCATCCCCAATGTCCCAAGGTGATTGTGGACGTTAACATCGGTCCCTGTGCTGTTTTGCCATAGATCAGATCACTGTATCACCGGCTTGGCTTGTGAGTACCTCTCTGCTTCTCCTTCTGGCCACTGACCACCCACCCTGGGGAGCCTCCATGTGTCCTGACGTGTCCCTAGCCAGTTCCCCGTGCTCTGGGAGCCAGACTTCTGGCTGCTGAGTTCATGAGTGACCAGCATTTTCTGCTTCGTGGTTCCCTGGACTGACCTCTGGCATCCCTGAGACCCACAGCCACAAGGGTCAGGCTTGTGGTGGAGACACAGCTTTCAGCCCTTGGGGTGGCCTCTGTGGGCGTCCACACCATCGCAACAGCCTGCTCTTGGCCTTGAGACCCAGGGTCTATTTCTCCTAGCTCTGTCTCCATCATGCTACTTGTGACTGCTGCCTGCTCTGTGACCCCAGAGTGACCCCCACTAGCCTGGCAGATTGAGGCATGTCCCCATCTCTGTCCCCATCCCTGGTGCCCCAGCAAAACATCCAGATCCCCTCCAGTCCTCTTCCGTCCTACTTCTGCCTTCACACTTCCATTCTCAGGCACCAGGGTACACCAGTCCCCTTTGCCCTGTCTCCTAACAGTAGGTCTGTGTCCTTTGAGAGCCAAGGTGCTCCCCAAGGCAGGCCCAGGCCTTCCTGATGGGTCCCCTAGTGCAGGGGCCCCATCTGGCAGGTTGGCTGCAGGTTTCAGGGCAGCACCACTGCAGTGACAGTAGGGTGCCTGAGCCTGGTGAGCTTCTCAGAAGGGGCCTGCTGCTCTCAGCCCCCAGCCAATTGCTGTGGCTCCTAGGGACAGTGTGTTCTGATTGGCTCACATGAGCCCTGCCCCCTGGACCAGAGGAGGACCAGAGAGTTCTCTCCTCCAAACAAAACTGAGGGCTGTGAGGGTCTCAGGTGCAGGCATGGCAACTGTTCCCCAGCCCAGGGAAGGCTCATGCTGGACCTGTGCATGATCTGGCTTCTCTCCAGGGTTAGTTCTTTAAAGAGCAAGGGCCCTTACTGCCCGTCCAGGAGGACTGGCACTTCCTGCTTGACAGGGCCCTAAGGGGGCCATGCACAGCCATGGCAGCATCTCTTTGCTGTACCATGGGGCTGAGGTGCCAGCTGGGATGACACTGAGACTCAGATGGATAGGAAGCACTGTCCCCAGCGTAGTGTCTGCCCAGATCAGCTGAGCCCAGACTGCTGGCCTCTGGGCCTGATCGAGGTTCCCAACCCACTATGTCCAGTGTGAGTTCATGTCCTCTAAAATCAAAGAATGCATTTTAGGAACAACAGAGGTTAAGAGTAGAATATATTTATTGAGAGAAAGCAAGCTTCTGTCTGAGAGAGAGACAAAAGGGGTCCCAAGCGGGTTGCCAGGGACTCTATTTTTTCTAAAGACTCTTCGAGTAAAATCATGGCATTAAAAAGAGTTTAACATAGGGAAACTGGGTACTCACAAGCCAGATGGGCATAAGGTGGTACAAAACTATGACTAACCAATAAGATGAATAGTTCAGGTAAAATTGATTAAACTGGGGACAAAAGGGGAAGGGAATCACTTAGAATGCAGGAATTCTTAAGAGAGCAGTGAATCTTCCCTAAAGGTTTGGAATGTCACTCCTTACTTCCTCAGGGTGCTAGGGAACTCTTTAGAACTTCACTCCTTAGGATATGGATATATTTGTATGGTCTTTTATCTTGAGGCTTGGCCCACAGCAGGAGGTGCTTGTCTTCCCCTTAGTTGCAAGGTATCTGAGCTTCTGCACTGGCTCCTTTGAGGACCTAGCCCTGTCTCACTTCCTGTAGTATTTCTAACTAACTCAGCTGCTTATAACAGTCCCCTCTCTGAAGAAGTAACCAGAACTGCCATGAGGGTGTCATGGGTGATGACCGATCTGGCTTCTTCAGGCTGAAGAGGGTTGTAGTGGTGACCAGCAGTCAGAGATACTTCTGCAGAGATCCTGTCTAGAGGCCCCCAATAGATACCAGGCATTTTCATCTTGGGTAGACATATAGCTCTAAGTCTGGAGGAGACAAAGACAAAGAAACAGTTGAGTATGTATGGGCCAAAGAATAAAACCAGTAGAACAATTATAAGTATAGGTAACAAAGATTTCCACCAATAGGAACTAGTAATAGATTTCCATAAGAAGGAGAAAGACAAGGTCCAGGAGTCTTAAGAATCTTACATATTGTTAATTTGGTATCTAATGTCTTGAATAGCTACTGAGATATTAGCAGAAGAGTCAGGAGTATATATACACAGCATTCAGTTTTTACAACGGCACAAATGCCTCTGTGTGCTGCTGTTAGAATGTCTGATGTCGGGGCTGGGGATTTAGCTCAGCGGCATAAGCGCCTGCCTTGCAAGCAGGCAGTCGTGAGTTCGATCCCTGGTACCGATAAAAATGAAAAAGACCAAAAAAAAAAAAAAGAATGTCTAATGTCATCTGAGTTTGAAGGCAGCCTGTCTCATTAATTTTTTTCCTTATTTAATAGGGACCAGCAGCAGTGTCATTTAAGGCCCACTCAGTATAGTTAGTCAAGGCCTCAGTATGTTGCATGATGTCTTCTAATCCTAGGGAAGGGATAAAGACAGAGGCCAAATGATCATACCAGTGGAACACACTTCTGGACCATCCATGTTGTACCTGGGTAAGTTTGCCGGTTTTTCGATATTTTTGATACTCCTGCCTTGCAACCATGCAAATCCTAGTGTGCATCTGCCTATCCATCCAGGAAGCCGGCAGGGCCACAGATTGGCTCCACAAGACAAATGGGTGCCATTGGGAGCTCCCCATTTGATTCCAGGGCCATTAAACCAGTCTGTTGCAAACCAGTCATTAGCCTGAAAAGTTACTTGTGTGTCCACATTGTTCAAGGGCTGTCCACCCAAGGTGGCTAGTGGCATTAGGCCAACCAGAATAAAAGTGGTGTTTTTGTTCCCAACATAAGGGGGATTTTCTACTGAGATGTCCTATGGTGGGAGTTAATCATAGATACTCATCCCATATTTGAAAATAGCCATAATGATATCTATGGTTGTTGGCCCTTAGGATAGGACCTTTCTTTTTATCTACCAGGGGCCTTACAGGCCTGTAGAGAGGCTTCAGTGGCATTATAAGAAAAAAATCTGATTATGTCCAGGATCATTAACAATGTAATTTACAGGATCATTAAGAATATAATATTCAGAGGCCATTTTATTACTATGCAATTGTGGGCTGAACTATGAATACTGAACTTCTTTGTTATCTCATTACTATAGTCCTGTAATTTATTCCAATCACATCCTTGAAGTGGAGACACCCACCAAGGAAGTCCTGATGTACTGGACAAGGGCAGTGAGCCACATATCCTGCAAGAGATGTGTTGTAATGATTTTGCATATGCTTGTGCCCACATTAAAAAGGAGTTGCATCCTCCTTTCAGTGGTGAAGGGAACAGTAAAAGGGCTAATAGTAGCCTTACTTACCTGAAGTCTTTGTTTTCTTCTTGAAGAGGAATCTTAGGTCTTCTGTGCGTTCACAGGAGTATGTGGGTGGTTGTTCACATCCAGTGATAGTCTCAAGTTTCCAGGGTTTGTGTCAGGTGTGATGCATCCGAGTGTCCAGGCCTATTGTCTTCAGCATGGAAGAAGTCGACAGGATCACAGTGTAAGGTCCTTCCAAATGGCTGATGAGGGAGGGGATTTTACCAGTACTAAATCTCCAGGGTGGAAGATAGGTTTTCCTTTCTCTGTAGGCTGAGCTTCTGTAAGCTCTTGAAGAGTTTGTTGGAGTTTAGCCAATGAGGTGATGTCTTTTTATAAGGCATCTGTTTCTCTGACAAAGAGAAAATCATCAGTGAGGAAAGGGCATCCATAAGGCATTTCAGGCGGACTGAGGCCTAGGTTTTGAGGTGTATTTGTTATTTTGATAAGAGGTAAAGGTAGGATGAATCTGAACCCTGGTGGGGCCTTGGGCTGAGAGGGCAGTCTGACATCCAGTGGTCACCTTTGCAGTTAGGGCATGGCCCAGGGGGCTTTTGAGTGCAGTCCCTCTTAAGGTCACCTGGCTTGTGGCAGTGATGGCAGGTGAATGTCATTGTTGAGCTCTTCTTGGAGACCTGAGAATCAGACTTAGGGTCTGTTTCTCTTAATGCTGTGCAAAAGCAGCTGCTTTTTCTCAGTCTCTTTGTTTTCTCTCTTTGACCTCCCTCTCATCACAGTTATAAAATACTGAGGAGGCAACTTTTACTAAAGTATCAAGTGAGCTGGGGATTTAGCTCAGTGGCAAAATCACTTGCCTGGCCAATGTGTGGTTGTGTTTGATCCACAAACTCCAACACACACAAAATCAATGAATAAATAAAGTATCAAGTGGAGTATCTGGAGGAAAAGCCATCTTTTGTAGCTTTTTTCTAATAGCTGAGGCTGACTGTGTAATAAACTTATCTTTAAGGATAATTTGTCCCTCTATTGAATCAGAATCTAAAGAAGTATGCTTTATCAATGCCTCTCATAATCCATCTAAGGAGGCAGAAAATTGTTCCTTCTTTTCTTGTTGAATAACTGATAACTTAAAATAATTGAATGGTTTAGTTCTCACTCTTCTTCAGCCTTCAAGAACACATGTCTAGAAATATTTTCTAATCCAATCACCCACCTGGTTGTGGGCCAAGTAAGAGTCTTGCATAGGGACTGTTTGTGATCCAGTGGGAACACAGCTTTTGCAAACTCCAACTGCACTGTGTCGCTGGGCCAAGACAAAATAAATCAGTGCTGCTTTTTTAAAATAAAAACATGTCTTGTCCATTTTTGAACTCGAGTTTGGGCTTTGGGGGCTCGTTTGTGGATTACAAGATTTAATGGCATATTTTTATTATTTTATTCTTGCACAAGTTAAATTTAAACTAGTTGCTAAAGTTATTTCCCTTTATCTTCTGGCCTTCTAAAATTGACAATATGGTATTCATATCCAAAGGCAATAGCAGCCTGTAATGCTGCGTGTCTCTCACTAGAAGTGAATGTCTGATTTAAGAGTAACACTACATCTTTCCAATCTACTTCATATGCCTGAGTAAGTCCTCTAAGGACCTGAATGTACTTGTCAGGCTCATCTGAAAATTTGCCAAGATCTAATTTTATTTGTCTTGGGTCACCAAGAGAGAAAGGTACATGAACTCTGGAAGTTCCAGATCATCCATGTACTCCCTGCAAAGGATACTGCCCTTGAGGAGCTTGCTTAAACTCAGCTAAGGATGGGTATAGTCCTGGAGAGGCCTGGATTACAGCTGGCCTAGAAGCTTTATCCTTAAGGCTGGAAGGGCAGGTGGGGGAAACCTTAGGTTCAGTAAAAAAAGGGGGGGGGGATTTGATTAAGGCTATTTTGTCCTCAGGTTCTAACGGTTCAGGAGGTGCAATTTTCCGCTCTTGGGGAGAAGATGCCTTAAGGGCCCGAGGTGCAGAGTTTTCCTGTGGCTAACATTTACATTTAGAGTATAAATAAGAAATATTTCCCAATGCATAGAAAGTCTGAATGTAGGACAACACTGACCATTTTTCCTGCTTGTCATGGTATGTCTCTGGTTGTAAAAGAGGATCATAATTAATACTTACCTCTGTATTCCACTAAGGCTCTAGGGGGTAGGTAGGCCACACACTCATGCAGAGAAATACCAATTGGATCTTTTTCAGCATGGAAGGCTTGAACATCTAGTGCCTAAGAATGTGTTCCAAAGGAGAAGGGGCTTTGGCATTTTGTTGTCCATGTCTATAAAGTAAAAGCAAGGCATAAGTATGAAACCTTTTCTGTACCCAGGCATTGAACTAAGTACCGTTTGATGAGCTATGAGTGATATTGAGCTATCTAGTTATGCATAAAATGAGTTAAAATAAGATGTCCTTTTTTTTCCTATTTGATAGATGTTCCCCACGTGTCTCTTGGGTTGAAACTGCTCCAGGGCAGGTGAATGCCCTCTGGAGAGAATGGACGATAGATTCTGTCAGCTTATCCACCCTGGACCTGGCACACAATCCTATATTGCTAGATAGCTCGTGAGTTTTGTTTCCATAAAGAATGTTTAATGAAGGAAGCATGACTTTGTAAGCATGTATTATAAGGGAGCATACATTAAAAGGTGAATTGGTGGTAGAGTACTTTTCAGGTTTTTTAGAGTAACTCTCCTCTAGAGATAGATAGAACAACTGACTGGAGGAGCATTACTCCTTAATCTGGGCAAGAGTCTCCAGACATTTGTTTCTCACTTATCTAGGTAACCTTTCTTCGTAACAGGACAAGGTTATACTTCATTTAGATTTCTGTATCTTTGAAGCTCACAGGTTAAATTTATAAATTATCATCTAGCAGTCACATTTTAAGTTAGAAAGAGGCACATCAGTCTTCTAGTCACACAAAAAATCCTAGTTACATTTTTAAAAATTTTATTTAAAGACAAAAGAAAAAACTTTTATTTAAAGAGAAAAGAAAAAACTGAAAAAGAGTCCAAGTAACACAGAATTTCAAAAAAATAGAAATCACTAGATAATAGATTACACATTGTCATCTTAGAAATAATTGCTCAAGGGCTGGGGATTTAGCTCAGCGGCATAAGCACCTGCCTTGCAAGCAGGCGGTCGTGAGTTCGATCCTTGGTACCGATAAAAATGAAAAAGACAAAAAAAAAATACATAAAAAAAAAAAGTAATAATTGCTCAAGTCTATTTACTTTTAATTAACATAGGTAAATCATTTCCCTACTAGCTGCTATGGAATGTAAGCAATCATTGCAAGCTACCTCAGTATAATCTCTGAAGGGACGGGTAGTTTAAGTGATCTGAAGATCTATTGAAAAGTTTAGAATGTTTTTAGTCTACTAGCAGAGAAATAAGAATGATAGAAAAGGGGAGATTTTAAATGGTCATGAGCAAATGTCCATTGAGGAAATGTTGGGTGCCAACCAGGGTGTTGCTCTGGCCAGGAACCCTCAGTTCTCAGTTTCTATTGCCTCAGATAACCAGAAATCAGTCTCCAAAAAGGAATCCAGCTGCCTGTCTGGTCAACATTCTGTTGAATCCATTGGCCACTGGCTTCCATGGGGATTCACCAAACAGATGCTGGGGAAAGCTAGCCTCTGATTTTGAGGGTGGCAGTTGCTATAAGGATAATTAGCTGGCACAGTGACCACTGTGTGTCAAAATTCTATGAGGGATAATTAAAAGACTGAGCAAGATCATTACCTACTTCTTTATCAATTTATAATAAAGGTTTTTAAGTCCATAATTTGAGAGGTTGGAAAGTCTCCTTATTCTAAATAGGTTTAGGTCCCCTATGTGTGCTGCTTTTAAGGATAGCTGCTTCCATTGCCACATGGAAACTGGTTCTCCCCACTGTGTCTTGGGTTTAATTTCCAAAGGAGATTTGCCCAGAACACTGAGCTGGGACACAGCTTTCATGTGTATTCTCCTGAATGGGCACAATTCTGATGTCTCATCTGATTCAGAGATGGAGTATGTGTCCCTCATCTAAGATGACTTCCCTGTCCTTGGCATTAGCAAATGCTCATTTTCTATGGGCTTAACTCAGAAGGAAAAGGTTGGAATAATCTAGAGTTTTTCCCACTTTTATATGCCTTTATTAGGAAAATGTAAAGTGGGAAGAGAGTAAGAGGTAAAGTGAAACAAAGGAAACTGAAGCAGAACAGGCTTGACATTCCTCTGGAGGATAAAGGAGGATCAGAGCCAGTCTGTCTCAGTGAAACCTGTCCTTCAAGTCCGAAGCATGGCCACCAGCCTAGTGCATCTTAAATGGTGGAACGAGTCCCATGTTTTATTGTAGGCATGTAAGTTTTCTAAGTCTGAACTAGATTTCATTTAAGAGAACCATTTAATAGAAATTTATATTAAAGACTGTTGAGGGTGTTCTATTATCATCTGTGGTGCTATTGTCTAAATATAGTTAAGCAAGGAATACCAGTAACTTTAGCAACTAATATAACATGTGAAAGAATAAAATAATAAAAATATGCCATTAAATCTTGTAATCCACAAACAAGCCCCCCAAAGCCTAAACTCAAGTTCAAAAATGGGCAAGACATGTTTTTATTTTCAAAAAGCAGCGCTGATTTATTTTATCCTGGGCCCTGTAACACAGTGCAGTTGGAATTTGCAAAAGCTGTGTGTCCTCCTTAAGGGTTTCTAGCCTCTTGTAGAGAGCAGAGTTTACAAAGTAAAGGGATTATGGGGGTGGATCAGGAAATCTGCTAAGGAAATGTTTTCCTTAGCAGAGGACAGAGTAGTCTAGCATTAGTTAATTCTTTGTCAGCTGATTTTAGCACCACATCTGTTATTAGTAGAGGGCAACAATGGTTAACATATCAATTAGTTTAGGTTCCCGGGATTTACAATTTTTTACAGAAGGGAGCATTGATTAACATATCAGTTAGGTCACCCAGAGGGGGGGAAATGCATACAAAACAGTAGGCGGCTTAACAGGTACTTTGGCTTAATACAAACATAACAAAGCTCTTTTAGCTAGTGTACAGCTTTCCCCACTGATTTTAGTCAGTGCACCAAATCATTGGCTCATGGGTTTTCAGACATAGGTACCTGTTTATAACCTTGCGTCTTTAAAATCATAAGCTGTATAATTTGAACCTTTGACATAGTTTACTAATCTGTGTATAATACAAGGCCCAATAGGAAGATTAACAAAGTTCTTGCAGCTACCATTATTAAAGCTGTTAAACCAAAAGGAGAAAGAAAACCAACATTTAAATTCACTGTTTTGTCACATAATTAACAATTTTTTAAAAGCCAGATAGAGGCCTCCTTGGGGTCTCCATAAGGGAGAACATAAGATTATTAGTTACATTTGGCAATCCTGAGCTTTAAAGAGTCCTTGGAGGGAATGGCAGTCCACTTATCTGTAGGTTGATCGCCTTTGGAAGCCAGGACCTGCTTGAAGTGGGAATGATGCATCGAGGTAGGCTTTCTGGCTACTTTGATAGCAGTTGGAGTGCTGAGGACTACAATGTAGGGACCTTTTCAATGGCTCAAGAGATCCATGGTGAAGCCTGTTGATGAGCACCGGCGACTCAGGCTCTACAGCAGGGTGTTTGTCCTCTCAGTGGGCTGCAGGTGGAGGATGTTGTTGTTAAAATAACCAGTGGATGGAAGTCAAAACTCCCTGAAGAGTTTGGGGAGACTTAAGATCTTGATTAGCTAAATCAGCTAATTTTTCCTCAGAAATCTTAGGTATAAGAGGAGTTCTCTCATATAAAGCCTCAAAAGGGGAAATATCAGTAACATAGAGGGTACATTGCGCATGCAAGAGGTCAAAAAAGGAAGGAGACTCCCCTGGTTCTCACCAGTTTCTAAGGCCATTAGTAATTACCATCTTTAATGTCTGGTTTATATTTTCTACTTGTCTTGAACTTTGAAGGCAGTAAGCACAATGGAGTTTCCAATTGATCTGCAAGGCTTTGGTTAGTTTTTGAGTTATCTAGGCCATAAAAACCAGGCCATTCTCAGACCCGATGGATAAGGGGAGGCCAAATTGTGGGACAACCTCACATAAGAGCTTTTTGACTATCACAGCTAACTCAGATTTTGTAGAAGAAGCTTTTATCCATCCAGTGAAACTATCTACCATTACAAGTAAATACTCATATCATTGAAGTCCAGGCTTCCCCATTTCTGTAAAGTCTACCTTCCAGTGTTCTCTAGGCATAGTCCCACTTAGTGAGTGGCTGCTTTGGGTTCACCAAATGGCACTGAGGGCATCTGAGGCTCACAGGCTGGGCAAGCTTTGATATTAGTCCCCAAATGCAAGTCTTTTCAAGTGCAAATAGGCTCTGACAAAGTAGGTGGGAATGCAGTAATGTCAGGGCTATCTCAAATCCCCACTGATTCTACAGCTGCCTTGTGGGTGGTGGCATCTGCCAAATTATTTCCTCATATAACAAGGCCATCTCCTGCTCAATGGGCTCTACAGCGGATAATAGCCACTCTTCCTGGCATCCAGATGGCAGCCAACAAGTCCAAAATTTGGGAAACATTTTTAATCTTTTGGCCCCAGAAGACAATAAGCACCATTCTTTATAAATGGTCCCATGAACATGGGCAGTAACAAATGCATACTGACAACTTGAGGTCTCACTGAGGGCAATGAGTTCAGCCTGTTGGGCCAATGTTTTTGGCTCCAGGCTTGGTTCCCATAGAATCTGCGAGTCTGTAGTAATGGCTGCTCCCACGACCCACTTACCTGGATAAATTTAACTGCTTCCATCGGAGAAATACAAAGGAACTCTGAATAGTGGCTCATCTGTCAAGTCTGGTCCCCAATACAGATGTGGAGGGGCAAGGAGGGGCATCATCAGGCAGCAGAGTAGCAGGGTTTGAAGCCGCTGTCCCTTGAAACTGATGGTAGTCAGATCTAGAAGTAATGCCTGATAATGCATGACTTGGGAGTTGGGCAGCCATTGGTCCGGTGGAGGCTTGATGAGAGTCTCCAGCGAATAGGAGGAGACAATTAAGAATTTTGGTCCACAAGTCAGTTTTTGTGTCTCCTCTATCAGGATGACTACCGAGGAAAACACCCACAGACAAGGTGGCCATCTGGCTGCCACATAATCAAGTCTCTTGGAAAGATAGGCAACAGGCCTCTGCCAGGGTCCCAAACTCTGCATCAGTCCTATGGCTCCTAGAAATTTTTGCACTTGGTTTTTAGTCACAGACACTGGAATCTGTTGGATGGCTTGCATCTGCTGGGAGGAAAGAGTCATTTATTTTTATTTTTTTATGGAAAGTCCAACAGCCAATGCAGTTTTTCTGCCCAGCAGAAACCTCTTACGCCTGGTCTTTAGGGTCCTCCCGGTTGTCAAATATCTTTTAAGCAACCTCTGATAACTGATTGAAGGGCATTTTCTCAAATCTCTCAAACTTTTGCAATTTTTGCTTAATATCAGTGGCCGACTGGGTTACAAAGGCAATATTAATGGCCCTTGCATTTTTAGCCACTACTGGTGTATAAATGTGATAGGGCTTTTGCACTCTTTTCAAAAAACCCCGAGGGAGACTAATAAGTCTCTGTTGAGCCAATTGCCTCACCTCTGCTCTCTTGGGCAAATTGGTGGGTTTTCTGGGGTGCCCTAATGGCTACTGAGAAGAACTGGCGATACCGATAAGGAATCTCCTCATCTCTGGTTGTCCAATTAGGGTGGGACAAAAGGAAAACATGGTTTTGGCATTCTGGATCAGAGGCAGGTTTTATCCAGATGGCACACTGCTTTTTTTTTGTCCCAGGGTGGGCCATTGCCCACATGGCAGGCCACCGTTTTACTGAAATTACATACTTAACAAAAAAAAAAGAGGCTTTTTCATAGGTAACAAAAGTAATTGTGCGGCATAGTCTCCCAGATATCCACAGCACATGCAAGAACTTGTATTTTATCTCTATAATCACCAGTCACATTGGGCACAATAGTTATTGTTTTATTTTTATTTATTTATTTTTTAATTCTATTTAAGGAGAAAAGAAAAAAAAAGCAGAGAAAGGGTACAAGTTATACAGATTTGCAGAAAAAAAAATGAACAGTAGGAAATCACTAGTTAATGGATTACATATTGTCATCTTAGAAATAATTGTTCAAGTCACAAAATTAAAGCTTGTAAAGTGGACATTCCATCAATGATACTGCAAACAGTTCTGTTCAATGATCCAATAAAACTCTGATATCATTTTCTATCTTATACACTTAAATATACATGCAATTATATAGTTTAGAGCACTTTCTTTTCCTCTCTTTTGTACAATTTGGGTTTCATTGCTCCCACGGTTCTTATTACTTTTTTGGAAGAGAGTAAAACCAAATGGGACATAACAGAACACAATCGGTCAAGTCAAAAGGGTGGACATAATAGATAATGTGAAAACATAATACAAGGTGATCAACAATGGTTACCATAATGCCTCCCGCTATCTCTAATAGAATTGCCTATATCATTAGTTATAATACAATTCAACAAAACAGTAAAGAATAAAACCGACAAAACCAAACCATTGGAGACATTGTAGGTCTTCAAAAGTAGATAAAAGTCAATGAGAATGGGCATTATAATGAGTCTCATTATCTTCACAGCTGATGCCTAAATTTTCGAACCTGATACTATCCAGCAAAACAGAATAGGGGAACATCAGTTAAAAACCAGATGGTGAGAGTAATACAGGGCTTTAAATCGAGGTAATGGAAAGTCAAAGTGGGTTACTATAATATATCCTGCTATTTTTTCCTTTAATTAAAAGGATAAAAATAAAAAAGTAAATAATGGAGTGGAGATTGAGATAAAAGAGGGCATAAAAACGAAACAGTGCAGATCAAAACATAAACATTTAAGCAGAATAGTGTTTCACCACCAGATAATCCTGACCTAAAAGTAGTTACCATATTGTCTCTTTCCCTGAAATCCTTGAGTACAACTTCGTATACTGTAGCATTAAGTATGTCAAAACAATGTAAAACCATTTAAGAGAATGACAGCATTACAGAGTATTTAGAATCGACTAACAGAAAATGAATAATGGTTTCTGTATAATCTCCTTGTCTTTAAAAGGTTTTTGCTTATACTATCATACATAATAAAATCCAGTAAGATACAACCTATTTAGACCATTGGAGACAGAAGGACAAAAGCTAGATGAGACTTCAAAACAAGATGATACTAAATCAGTATTACCTATTAAGATGTCATTTTCTCCAAAATAGCTGTTCCTATCATCCAATCTTCTCTGCCTCATTTCTGTTGAGCTCTTATTCTGTCAGTAGCTGTCAGTTTGTCTTCTTCACTTTGTTCTCTGCTCCATTCGTTGTGGCCTCCACTATTTCTGGATTCTTTGTATTTTTCTTTTTTTAGAATATCCTGTAATACTCTCTCTAGAGTTGAATTGGTGGTTGCAAATTTCCCCAGTTCCTCTTTATCCTGGAAGCACCTTGTTTTTCCATCAATTTCCAGGGACAGTTGTGCAGGATATCTCAATCTTGGCTGGAGATTATTATCTTTCAAAGCTTGAATTATTTCCCCCCATGCTCTTCGTGATTTGATGGTTTGTGCAGAGAAATCTGCTGTAATTCTGATGGGTGCTCCCTTGTAAGTGGTCTGTTTCTTGTCTCTGACAGCTTTTAATATTCTGTTCTTGTATTGAATTTCTGGAATTTTTATTATTATATGCCTGGGTGTTGCTCTGTTTGGGTTGTAGGTAGCTGGGGTCCTGTATGCCTCATACATCTGAGTATCTTTACCTTTTGCTAAATTAGGAAAATTCTCCTGGATTATTTCTGTGAGTAGCTTTTGTAGTTCATTTGTTTGTGTCCCTACTTCTTCTTTTATGTTCTTAATCCTTAAGTTATGGATCCTCTTATCATCTTCTTGTCTTTGTATTATTGCTGTTTGTTTCTTTATTATTTTAAAGAAGTTTTTCATTTCATTCTCCCATATTACAATTCTGCCCTCCAGTTCAGATAGTCTGTCCTTAGTTTCTTTCAAGCTGTTATGCCAGTCTTCGATAGACTTCTTAGTTTCTTGGTAGTCCCTTTGAACCTGCTTCACGTATTCTTTAATTTCCCTGTTATCTCCATCAAACAATTCTCCCCTCTTTTTCTCTTCTTCCATTCCACCATCTGTTTTTTCTTGGGTGGTACTTAGCATTTCTCTAACAATTTTGCATACTTCTAGCTTCAGGTCATTGATAACTTCATTCCTGAATTGGTCTATGAGGCTCTCTATATGGCACTTTATGTCTATTGGTGCGGTGTCTGCTATTGCCTGTTTCTCAGAGTTGGGGGCCGAGGAGCCTTTCTTGTTGCTGCCTCTTCCCATATTCCCTGTTCCTTATATATGCAAGCTTATATGAGAGGCCCAGCTTCTCTCCCTGTCAGCCACAGCCTGATTGAATTGCGCCGGTTAGGTGTTCCCACTCACCTCTGCGCACCAGGCAGCCTACGCGGGGCCCGCCCCTCCCTGCCTCCGTCGGGCTCTGGGATCTGGGTTGGCCCAGCCTACGGGGTCCGCCAGCAGCGTCACACAGGCCAGGCACTTTTCACCAATCCTGCCCGAGAGGGGAATGTGTGGCTGGAGTCGCCACCGCGCCCTGCTCCCGCAGGACTGCTCGGGCCCAGAAAGTCCGCTGGACTCAAACTGTGGTCGAGTGTCAGTTTCTCTCACTGACCTCGCCACAAGTCAGAACATGCCTCCCTGCCCGTCCTGTTTTCGACTCCGTTCGCAGACTCCCGTTCTCAGAGTTTCTGTGTGTCTCTCTCCTTCCTGAGCCAATATGGAGGCAGCCAGCCACCGCGCGGTGGGAAACCCAACTCGCGGCTTCCAATGGCGCGGGGTCCAGCAGAGGCTTTTCTGTTCCTGTTTTAGCACCAGGACTGCATTCCAAGTTGGTTTCTCTCAGCCGACTTCGTTCCTGAGTCAGCAGAGCATAACTCCACCTGCTTATGTCTCTTTAGTCCGCACCATACCTGGCTTCTGAGCCTAGTTTTTCAGAGAGCCTCCGGTAGTTGCTGTTATCTGTCCGCCATGTTCTCCCGGAAGAATAGTTATATTTTTTAAATTTAGATGGGCTTTTTCAAGTAGAAGACGAATTTTTTTTTTCTGTTTTTTGCAACAATCTTGCAAGACTGAATCTGTTCCTAGTTTAGTCAGCCAGAGGTACAAGCAAGAAACAGTGGTCCATGAATAAATAAATGAATATGCTCATCAGGTGTCTCAGTATTAAAAATCTGGCGAAACAATTTCCACTTTTGATCTGTGTTACTTCTCGATTGCTGGATACACCTATATTTCTTGAAACACTAACATTGTTGGGATGGCAGGTTTTTCCCAAGTAACAGCTACCCAAACCAGTTTCTGAAGGGTCTAGTGTAAAACCAGAGGACTGCAGCTGCACCAGGCAAATGTGTATAGCACTTAGGAAAATCAAAATGGAAATTAATGCTCTTAATTTCATGCCATTGCTATTGAAGCAACAGCAATACAAAATATACAAGACGGGTCACATGACTGAGGGTAGACTTGAAAAGTTTTGTTTGTGCTATTACACAAAACCATGGAAAAAGCAGAAAAAGGCGAAGGTCATTGGCGGACGTAAACATCCCTATTTGGATTTATGATGGCTCTGCAGGTAGTTGCACTCATTGTGGTCCTGCTCTCGATCTATGTCCCTGGAACGGTGTCGAGATTCTCTGTGTCTGTGGTCACTGCTCCCATGGGTCTCATCTCGGTGGTTGTGATCACAATGTGGGGCATAGTGGTCCATGTGTTCACGGGAATAATCTTTTGGCTGCAAGTAGGCAGAGTCTCCACTCTCCTGAGTTTCAGAGTCAAATGTCTCTTGCCTGGAGAGGCCTTGACTCATACTGCTGCGATGCTTGTGATGTGGGGCTGAGGAGGAGGAATGGAGGTGGGATTTTGACAGGTTCCAAGCAAGATTCTTCTTCAGGTTGGGAAGCTGACCAATCAGGAGTGGAGCAATCAGTCACCTGATCACCTGGAGAACCCTGGTAACAAAAGGAACATAACTGGGCTGACCTTGGGCTTAACCAAGGTCAGAGTATAAAGAACTAAGTGGTCATCGTGCAAAGACATTCAAGTGTAGTCCTTTGAAAGGATCTAAAATGCTGAAATGAAGTCTAGTGTAGCTCAGTTGCTTAATTCCTTTAATATCCAGTGGCATCAGTACGGTTTGTATTGTGTTATATTGGGCTTTATTAAGTGCCTGAAACAGTACACATAGTAATCAGTTTATTTTATTATTAAGAATAAGTGAAGAAGGGTTACTGCTCTATTACATATTCTTTTGTTGAAATACACATGCAAGAGATTTTTCTATACGTGAACATAAACTTTCCTACCTCTGCTTGAACATAGATTAACAAAAACCACAATTAAAATAAAATACATGTGTGACACTTGATGGAACATCACTCCTCCAGGACCTTTACATACACTGTTTAATTCAGTAACCTAGGAGATAAGGTGATCTAAAGGAAAAAAAGACAAAAGATGTGACAGTCACAACAGATTTTAATTATTGCTAGGGTATCCTTACTGTTCTTAAGGCCAGCAAGCCAAGACGTAAGTTCACCTGAATTGTACATGCAGTTTCAGGTGGATCCAGGCCTTGAATGCAGACAGTTTACTGTCTCAAGGACCACACAGTTAGTTTTAAAAGTCTGTAGTATCGGGCTAGGGATTTAGCTCAGTGGCATAAGTGCCTGCTTGACAACTGCAAGTTGTGAGTTTAATCCCTGGGACCAAAAAAAAAAAAAAAAAAAAAAAAAAAATCCATAATATGTTGTATTTATTGTGCTTTCTTAGATGTACAACATACTGTGAACATTTTTAACTAAGTGACTCATGATGTGAGCCATACTTTCAATACTGTTAAGATACTGGAGCATGCACCAAGCTGGCTGATCTCAGTGGAAGACCTCCAAATTATATAGGGGAGTGAAACTCCTGACCTACTATGTCAGGAGGAGCAAAACACAGTTGACAAAGAATGCTCTAAAGGGGTGATACCAGTTTCCCCAGCACTTCTCCAAAGAGGTGCAAAGCTTAATCAAGGGGCTTGTCAACCCTGACCCAAGCATGCGCCCTACCTTGGAGCAAGTAAGGCATCATCCATGGCTTCGGCTGGAATCTATCCCTTGTCATCCTCCTCAACTGCTCCCCAAAGCCACAGAAAGGGCAATACTGCACATTATGGCTGGGAAGGGGTACAACCGGCTGAAGGTGAATTCGTGTTCTCTAAAATCAAAGAGTAAATTTTAGGAACAATAGAGGTAAAGAGTAAAATATATTTATTGAGAGAAAGCAAGCTTCTGTCTGAGAGAGACAGGAGGAGTCCCAAGCAGTGGGACTCTGTCTTTCCCAGGGACGTTTATAGAGGAAAATCATGGGATGAGATGGACTTGTGGGCAAAACTGGGAACTCACAAGGCAGATGGGCATAAGGTAGGGCAGAACTATGGTTAACCAATAAGATTAATAGTTCAGGTAAATTCATTAAATTGGGGACAAATGGGGAAGTGAGCCACTTAGAAAGCAGGCATTCTTAGAGAGCAGTGAATCTTCCCTAGGGGGTTGGAATGGTGACTCCTGACTTCTGCGGGGTGCTAAGAAGCTATTTAGAACATCAGTCCTTATGGATGTATTTGTTTGATCTTTTGTCTTGAGGTTTGGCCCACAGCAGGAGGTGCCTGTCTCCCCTTAGCTGCAAGGTATCTGAGCTCCTGCACTGGCTCCTTCAGGACCTAGCCCTGTCTCCCTGCCTATAGTATTTCTAGCTAACTCAGGGCCCCGAAACACTACTGCAGGCTTGCTGGGATCTGACAGCAAGCAGTGGGCGTGGAGTGCCTCCACTGTCTTCTCTGCACTGGACACTGCAATAAGACCACAGACCGCAGAGGCCTGCCACAGGTTTAAAGTCAGAGAACTTTTTGTCTTTGTGTTTTGTTTTTCCTGCCTGTGTACATTGTTCTCAGCTTTTGTATTTTTCTCTCTTTTTTGGTCCTGCTTTTTGCTCCTGTTTTATCACTCGTTTTCTAAGGCCTGGTAATCTCCCTTTGTACTTCAGTCTTCTTATCTCTCTTTTATTTTTCTATATTTTCTTGGTATCCCTAATAAATTTTCTCCCTTTAGGGCAAATTGCTCTACTGAGTATATTCTTACTGTATATAATATTCTGCTTTGCCTTATAGTTGGCTGTGTAACTACAAATCTCATACCTGTGATTAAAGCAGGCATATCCTTGGTCATAAGAGTTTATCATTTCCTGGCTGTGTTGGTTGCAGTTGTTATAGCTGATTGTACTATGTTAGCCAAAGTGACAGAGTTATTGGCATCAACTGATCTTCTTTGAACACCACCACCTCAGTTGTCTGAGGGGCACAAACAATCCTGTAGTTCTGGACTACAGAACTATAAGAACTGGGTGCTGGGCCAAACAGGCAGCAGCCCTTCATTCCTACCGAACTGAAGAGGCAGGGCTGGGGATGGAGCTCAGTGGCACAGCTCCTGCCTGGCAAACACAAGACCCTGAGTTTGACTCCCAGTACCAAAAAAGAAATTCCATAGTTTCTCGTTTTGAGAAAAAAAAAAAAAAAAAAAAAAAAAAAGTTCCTTTAAGAAAAGAAGAGGCAAAATCTTGGGATGACAGAATCCAAAGCCAGCTACCCCTACAGAACATCTCTGAAAATAGTCATTTCCTAAAGAGGTCCCAATACTAGTAATAAACTACTGACCATAAGCAATTTACAAGCCTCAAGGCAGAAAACAAGTACAAAGATAGAAAACGAGAAAATGCAGAAGCAAGATGCACCATGACATGTGTTATGTGCATGTTCCAACTTGCCCTGAACACTCTCTGGTTCAGATCCTGCCCCAGGTGCTGCAAACACAGACCACAGTTTGGAAGCCACGAATGTCTTCTCTTTACCAAATGTCACTGTTCCCACGGTGGCAAGCAACACCCTCACGTGTGGAGATTTCTCTTGTTCCAAACTCTGTCCCCACAACACGCATGCCTGTGTGCCCTCAAGGCTGGATATGAGTCTCTGTTTACTGACACAAGACTTCAATGGGCTCCTTTCAAAGGCTTGCAGATACAGACTTGGGGACAGCATTCAGAAGACCAGGGTTTGGGTCCATGTCTCTTCATGGGGATGTGTGGGGGTGATGGTAGATGACCCCTTGCTCTTCCCAGAACACACCCTACTGCCAGGCACAATAAGGGAGGTAGTGGTCAGGTGTGGTCAGGTCCATGGTACCCAGGTCTCCCTGCATCCTCATGGGAGGTTGTGGACAGGTCCATGGTGCCCAGCCCTCCCTGTCCCTGGGGCAGCCTCCCTCAGACAGCAGGATACAAGCCAGGTGACTCTCCCCCCTGCTCCTCCTGTCTTCCTCTCACTGGCTCTCAGCTCCTGGTGCCTGTGCAGCCTTCCCATGCTGTGCACCAACCCCTCCCTCTGCTTCTCACCCACAGGATACACTAGTGATCTTGACTCCTCCTCTCCCCTCCAGCTCCCTGCACAAAGGGCTGCAAGGCAACTCACTGTGGCTTCCACTTGCGTGGCTGACCTCGCTGTCAGGATGACCACGTCCATAGGAGGGATCATGGATCTCCACTACAAAGGCAAGGAGACATGTGTAATGCACGCTCACTGGGAAACACAGCATACAGTGGTGGCTGTGGTCACTCCAGCCTCCTCTGCAGCAGACCCCACTGCAACTCCTCCTACCCACACCTGGCCTCTGCCCACACCTGCCCTTCTCCCTCCCCTCCTCTCCTCCCTACAGTTCTTCCCTGACAGTTGAAAATGATATCGAGACACAGCACATTCTGAGGAAGCAGCCGGACCACTCAGACTCCTTGAGTGACCTCTGGTTCTCTACTGTGCAGTACTTACCCTCGACCACCTTGTGTTTGTGACACTTGCATGTCGATACGGGGCAGCAGCACAGGGCCCTTAGGCAGTCTCTCATGGTTCTCTTGACAGTTTTCCAGCCCCACCTCCTACTGCTGACAGGGGCTGGGGCAGCAGTGAAGGCAGCATTTGGAGTCCCAGGGCTGTGCTGGAAGGACTCACCGGGAGAGGCAGGGTTGGGCTGCCAGTATGACTCAGTAGGGGCACGGCTGGTTTTACAGGACTTGATGGGAACAGCAGGGCTTGGTTGACGGGATGCTTTAGGGGTAGCAGGCCCTGAATGGTAGGACTTGATGGAAGAAGCAGGGCTTGGTTGACGGGATGCTTTAGGGGTAGCAGGTCCTGGATAGTAGGACTTGATGGGAGAAGCAGGGCTTGGTTGACGGGATGCTTTAGGGGTAGCAGGTCCTGGATAGTAGGACTTGATGGAAGAAGCAGGGCTTGGTTGACGGGATGCTTTAGGGGTAGCAGGTTCTGAATGGTAGGACTTGATGGGAGAAGCAGGGCTTGGTTGACGGGATGCTTTAGGGGTAGCAGGCCCTGAATGGTAGGACTTGATGGAAGAAGCAGGGCTTGGTTGACGGGATGCTTTAGGGGTAGCAGGTCCTAGATGATAGGACTTGATGGGAGAAGCAGGGCTTGGTTGACGGGATGCTTTAGGGGTAGCAGGTCCTGTATAGTAGGACTTGGGAGAAGCAGGGCTTGGTTGACGGGATGCTTTAGGGGTAGCAGGTTCTGGATGATAGGACTTGATGGGAGAAGCAGGGCCTGGCTGGCCAGAGGTACCAATAAAGTTTGGACCGGGCTGGCAGGATGTGCGAGCAGGGGGAGTCCTGCTGATGTCAGTTGGCAGGGAGACTGTCTTCCTTTGCTGGCCGAGAGGCTTCACCTCGGGGAGGAAGTGGCCAGTGAAGAGGCAGGGCTCACTGGCCCTCCTAGCTGGTGGGGCAGCTACAGGGGGAGGAGATGCAGATAGCAGATTGTCACCTTTGTTTGTGGACTGTTCAAACAGATGTTCAGCCTCACGTTTGTGTGTGGGCTTCACCTCAGACCCGAAGTGGAATTTCCGGAGTGCCATGCCCCGTAGTAGCAGGAAGGGCGCCATGTACCGATTGTATTTTCTGTACTTCACTGCATCAATCACCTTCAGCGGGTTGTACCCCTTCCCATCCAAAAAGTCCACTATTGCCCTTTCTTTGGCTTTGGGGAGCAGGTGAGGAGGTCGACAAGGGACAGATTCAAGCCGAAGCCATGGATGCTGCCTTACTTGCTCCAAGGTAGGACGCATGCTAGGGTCAGGGTTGAGAAGACCCTTAATTAAGCTTTGCACCTCTTTGGAGAAGTGCTGGGGAAACTGGTATTGCCCCTTTAGGGCATTCTTCATCAATTCTGTTTTGGTCCCACTAAATGGGCGTACCCCAGCGACCATCTCAAATAAAATTACCCCTAAAGACCAAATGTCCAGTGGTGGGCCTTGGTATTTCTTTTTTAAGAATAACTCTGGGGCAGCATACTGTAGGGTGCATCCACACGCGGTCACCTCCTGGCCAGGAAGGAACCTGAAAGCCAAGCCAAAATCGCTGAGCTTGGGGTGGCCTTCACGGTCCATTAATATGTTCGCCGGTTTCAAGTCCCCATGGATGATGCCGCTGTCATGGCAGTACTGCACAGCCTCCAGGAGTTCTCGGAATATCAGCCGGGCCCTCTCTTCCTCCAGCTTCTGTGTCTCAGCAAACTTGATAAAGCGCTGCAGGTCTTTCCCGCGCGCATACTCCAACACCAGGAACACACAGGTACTATTTTCTGACACTTCCAGCAACTTGATGATATTGGGGTGCTGAAGGTCCTTTAGGATGCTGACCTCCCGTATAATAGCAGTAGGCCTCAACTTCTCCTTTTGAAGTACCTTCACAGCTACCAGCATCCCTGTGCACACATGTTCAGTGAGAACCACCTTGGCAAAGTGACCCTCACCAAGGGGCATCAGCATGTCATAGTCCTCAAAGAATGTTCCTGTGGACGATGACATGACGTCCAGCAAAGACATTTTACACGCCACAAACGATGCCTTGATGGAACTAGACTTTATAAAATCAATTATCAAAATTTCGAATCTCAAATCACCAACTCCTCTCCAAACACCACTCCACTTCACCCACAAAGGGTCTCTGGGCTGAAAACCCTACCTTATACAGCTATCTGCTGTGACCTCACAGGGGATCTTGTGAAGTCATGGTGCCAGTGGGCCCAGGCAGAGCTGGTCACCTCCACTTCACCCCTCACACTCTTGGCCACAAGGGTCTTTTGTTTCTAACAGAAAAATGTTACAAAATGTCTTACTAATGTGAGTTATGGAGATTGACACTTGAGTTTTTGAAATTCAAACCTGTAGGATGCTTCAATATCCCTTTTGTTTCTGTTCTGAGAATCTGTTCTCAGCATCTGTAATACCTCTTACATTTAGAGATCCCATGATGTCTACACTCAGCATCTCCAGTTCCTTTTGCTCTTAATTCTTACTGGTGTCAAAGTGATGCTGCAACTTCACTTACATTAGAATAACGTAACGGTCAGTGTATAAAATATGACAAATAAATTAATGCCTGTGCAGCTGACATCAATTCCCCAAAAACATAGTCATTAGACTTATCCTCAAAATCCTTGGAGAGCAGCGGCAAGCACAGTCACAGAAAGGACACCCAAGAGTTGGAGACACATTTATTTACACCAACGGGCACTGATTGGTACATTCCCAGAATATCAGGCCCTGATCTCTGATGGTCTGAGGCCTGTATAGGATAAGCAAGTGGGGAGTACAGGGGCAAAATGGCTTGTTGATTGGGGCTGGTTTATGCAGTGTGCATCACAGTGACCAGCTAGGCATCACAGTGACCAGCCGTTTCTTAGAGACAGAACTGTTACCTGGACAACTAAGAAACTGCAGTATACTGACTGGGGTGCGGGATATTCTGTTACAGGAGGACAGAAGGAAACAGGTGGACATGTGCTGTGTGAATGAAACAGTGAAACAAAACAAAAAGCTCTCTCAACTAAGCATTTTACATCCAGCAAAACTGTCCTTAAAATGAGGGGGAAAGCTCAGACATTCCTAGATGCAAGCACTGAAGAATGTCCGTCCTTCCTACTAGGCCTGCCTTGGGTAGAGGAGTCCCTTAGGTTGAAATGGAAGAACCAGCTCTGGTCCCACATGCCTGTGATCCAGCACTCAGGAGGCTGAGGCAAGATGATCACTGTGAGTTCAAGGCCAGCCTGGGCTACACAGCAAGACCCTGGCTCACAAAGGAGAATTTTTTTGCAGGAACTCAAGTCTGAAGAAAAGTCTGTTAAAGCTGAATAGGTGGACCTTTATGAAAATCAGGCCTGGTTTTGTATTCTACATGTTAGAGGCTCACATATTGAAAAGAAAACAATGCACCCTGTAGTACTGTATTTCCTGAGACACAGTGTGGCATACGTGGAGGAAACTACAAACTCACTCCCCAGATGTGGGGCAGCATCCTGTATATGGCTATGTTTAACTGCCACGGATTCACACCACCCTGGGGTGGCCTTGGGATTTTCAAAGTTATATCCACGGCATCCTCAAAGAAAACATAAATAGCTTTTACACAGGTGACGAGCCCATTGACTCCAAAACGAATGACTCCTGCAGAAGAGCGGGACAGCTGCTGCTGGAGTGGGGACAGCCACGCCCAAGCCTCTCTCCCAGTCAGCAGCATTCGCAGACTGTGGAGCGAGAACCAGGCCTCACAAGGGGGTGGGCCCTGCCTGGAAACCATGTCATTTTCATTGCTTTGTTGGTTGGGTTTTATTCTTTCATTTTGTTTGATTATATTAAATCTGATGCCATGAACAACTGTTCAAAAGATAGCAAGACGTGTTATGGTAGCCATTCTGGACTTACTGTGAGCTTGTTTTGAAGTCCTTTACTGCAGTCATTGTTTTGTGTTTGTTGTTTCTGCTCTATTCTGTTGTTTGATTTTTACCAGGTCCAAAGGTATCTGCAGCTATTTTGAAGATGATAGAGGCATTAACTATTGCTGATTTTCTAAGGCAGTAACTATTGCTGATTTTCTAAGTTTTAAAGACCTGTATCACTTATACTGGTTTATCTTGATCGGTTTTATTCTGTTTTATTTTCCTTGGTTTTATCCTCTTTTTAGGCCAGGGATTCAACTCAGCAGCATAAGATCTGTCTGGCAAGTGTGAGGTCCTGAGTTTGATCCCTGATACGAAAAACATAAAATAAAATAAAATTTTAAAAAATAAAGAAGAAGAAGACGAAAAAGAGCAAGGACAAGATGCTGCAAGCTCATGAAACAGCCACCTGACAGAGGCAAACTCTTGCAAGCTCTAATTCCCTTCTAATGAAGGGGCAGTGTCTTCCCAATCAAAAGCAGAGACTGGGAGACGAGATGGGAAACCTCACCCAATTAGATGCAAAGCAAGAAGGTAGAAAAAGTACAAAGTAAAAGTCCTCTGTGCCAAATACAGAAGAGTTGGCCACTCTACTGTTGGAGTGGGTCTTTGGTTAAGAAAAGGTTTCAGGAGACACAGGGACATATTAGAGTGTAGGTAGCAACATAACTACATGCAGCAGGCCTATCCTGTACCAGTAAATTTTACTTTACTGCAATAGCCAGCTGGGCATGTCACTACCTTCCCCTGAGGGACACTGGAAAGCAGTTTATGTGATTACCCACTTGCTGTGTCAAACAATGAGGTGTGTGAGCAAGTGCAAAAGTCTCAAAATGGGATTTTCACCCACGTTGTGCTCCATCTAACTGTTTTTGTGTGTTTATTCAAGCATCAAAGAGGGTTCAATAATCCCCCATTACTCCAGGATTTGTCTTTTTAAAAGCTTTCTTTTGATTTTTCTGGTGGAAATAGCCCAGTTCTGTACAATGGCATGTGAAAACTATATCTTGGAGGAGGTCACAAGTGAATGAATCGTCAGATTACTCATGCATGAGTGATGAAGATGATCCATTATGACAAAACACTTTCATAACAGAAGAGTGTTGTGGATGGATGGATGTCGATGAAGAGGAGGAAGAGGACTTTGAAATTGGCCATGTGAGTCAAACTTCCTGGGACAGTGAAGTGGAGCAAAGATCAACTGATACTGATACTGACCTCCTTTGTTAAGATGACAAAACAATGTGAATACATATTTGACTAGTGAAAATGTTGCAAAATGGCCACATAACCAAATGAAATGATCTAATGTTAATACTAAGTCCAAAAATATAGTGAGGGACTTGGCAAGAGTGAAATGTATTGGACGAATGCTGATACTGCTATTCAAAGTTGGAAATTTTAACACATGAAATGTTACAAGATTCTGTGAAATATAGAGGTTAAAATTCAAGTAAAGTGTTCTCTATGCACCACTAGCCATATTCAAAAATGTTTTATGACATGGTGCTGAACTGAAAGCATTTATGGATCTGTGTGCTTAGGAGGGATTTCTCATAGTGATTGCAGGAATGTAAAGGCCTCATGGAAAATGATGGGTCAACTCTGGCATAATGCATGCCCTTGTGCATGTGAGGACTTTTTGTGCTTTCAATTTAGACATTTAGCTTGAACTTAGCCACAAGGTGTTTATTCATAGAATAATAAACCAGATGATGTTATGAACAGAAATGTTCTTATGGTTTGGGACTACAGTTCATATGAGATTATTTACAGCAGAGAAAAATCCAGCTTTTCTTGTCAGTGAATTATGTGAAGTACTGTGGAGTGCACTGGTGAGCTGACAGGTGAACAGGCACACACAGCTTCCTAGATCCACGATGATAAGAGGAAAACAAAAAGATCTCAACTGTGTCCTACAAGAAAATACAGGAAAACAAAACATGCTATCAGTGGAAGTGTCCCTCGTGTATGGAACATGCAAGACTGCCTTGGGTATGACAAGTGCAAAGACTGCTTTGGATATGACAGTTGAAGCAAAGCTTATTTATGTGGTAGATTTTTGTTTCTGTTTACATTGCAGTTCACATAGGTTTCTATTTTTGATGTTATCTTTGATGTGAAAATATATCGATGTGTATTCTTTTTTTTTTTTTGTCTTTTTCATTTTTTTATCGGTACCGGGGATTGAACTCATGACCGCCTGCTTGCAAGGCAGGTGCTTATGGTGCTGAGCTAAACCCCCAGCCCCATTGATGTGTATTCTAAAGGCACAACACACAGTAAGAATTTAAGAACTTCTTTTGATACTTTATGTTCCTGTTGGCTACACACTCTATAGCACAATAACCTTGACAAAACAGCAAAACCATTGAGATATCAAGTACATCCTACAAAAAGAGTAGGACAGCAAAACGTGTGCTCCCAGTGTGAGTATTATGTGTCTATGGAATACGCTGTGGTCATGTGCACAGACTGATTTAGATGTGATAATTGAAGTGAAGATTACTTTTTTGTAAATTGCTGTTGGTATTTTCAGTGTAATTTGTATAGGAATATTTTTGTTATTTTTTGTAGACTTTATGCCAAAAAATTGTTGATGTTTTAAATTTTGATGCTTTATTATAAACACTCAATAAATATTAAAAATTCAATACTTTATATTTTTTTGTTTTTTTTTCCTGGTAAGCCACTGTGTAATATAACATCACTTATAAAAGTAAAGTTAATAACTCATCAATAGAAATATTCTAAAGAATGAGTGTATGTCTGGTAAACCTGTTTCTGCACCTTTATGACAAAGTTAGTGTTATGCTCCTGAAATAGTCAAGACCAGGAAAGTTTTCAGGGATGCTGTTCACAGTGTCATCATCTAACCTTGAAGACTCCTCTGGAGGTTTCACCTACATCCTGCCATGCAGACAAGCTCGCTATCTACAGTTGCCAAATCCTGGGAGGCAACACACCTCCTGCAACTGGAGTTCAGT